GCGTAGCCGTCGGTGGCTGCCCGGTGCTGGGTGTGCAGGATATCCCAGAAGAACCCACGCACCGGCCGGTACATGTTCTGTGCCCTGGAGGAGATGGGACAGAGAGGATGGGTGACCGGGGGGCTGCGCCCCACAGCCCCCACCCCAACCAGCCCCATGGGGCACTCACATGGTGAGGAAGAAGAGCTTGACCCGCAGCCCAAACGCCTTCAGCTTCTTCTGAGCGGGGCTCTGTTTCACTTCTTCCTCCTCCTCCTCCTCTTCCTCCTCCTCCTCTCCATCCCCTGCGAGTGAGGCACAGCATGGGTGACAGCTGGGGTCCTGCAGGGTCCCATCCTGCCCAGCCCCAGCACCCCTCTGCCCCGGGGGCTGCACGGGCTGGGAACCGGCGCTCACCTTCCTCTGGAGCTGCCTCCGGCTGCTTCGTCCCCCACCGCCTCTTCCTCCTGAAGCGCAGCTGCGTGGACCCGGCCCCCTCTTCCTGCCCCATGGCATCGCTCTCCGGTCCCACGGCTGCGCCCGGTGCCCCCGGCTCTGCCAGCACCTCTGCCCCTTCCTCACCCACTGGCAGCAGGGGGGACGCTGCTTCCTCCCGCCTCTCCTCCTCCTCCTCCTCCTCCGCCCGCTCCACCTCCGCTTTCTTCTTGGGGAAGGGGTCCTCCTCGTGGTCCCACAGCCCGTAGGACTAGGGAGGGCTGTGGTCAGGGGGATGGGGTTCCACAGCATGGGCTCCCCGCACGCCCCAGCAACCCAACCAGCAATGGGTGCCTTGGGTGGAAACCAAGGCAGAGCCACCGAGCACCCACTGGGTCCTCTCCAGAGCCCCCCATCACCCCCAGGAGCACCTCCAGCTCCCGGGGATGCCCACTCAGGTGATGCCCACGGTGATGTCCATGCCCCCGGGCTCACCAGCAGCAGGGAGCGATGGAAGAAGAGTGCCAGGAGCTGGATGAGGTCGTACTTGATGTAGCGGTCGGTCTTCTCCAAGCCCAGGATGCGGGGTGGGAAGAAGGGCTTGCCCTCGTTGCGCACCAGCATGGCGTAGCCGTTCCAAGGGAAGAACCCAAACTGGAAGAGGTATTTCACCACCACCATCACCTGCAGGGATGTTGAGGTCAGCAGGTGCCAGCCAGGGGGCAACACCCCCTTCCTGGCCACCCCCTGCCCACCTCGGTGAAGATGATGGCAGTCATCCAGAAGCGCTTGCTGGGCCGGGGAATGGAGAGCATGGCCCAGAGGAAGACGAGGATGGGCAGGAAGAGGGAGATGACGGAGGCGGTGACCATGTTGTTGAGGATGATGATGAAGTAGCAGAGCAGCTCGGAGTGGGCGGCCACGCAGCGGTACCCAGCCAGCAGCAGCTT